GCAGGACATAGAGCGTGGCCGTGACGGGGATGGCTGTGATCGGCTGGTGATAGGGCTGGAGGTAGGAGGGAGTCTCGTACAGTCTCATGCTGACGTTGAAGTGTCCTTCTCTGACCACGAACTGCACCAGCCTGAGAGGAGAGGAGGAGAGCTCATGAGCAGAACAAGAAGGCACGAAGGATGTAGCACAAGTCAGGCCATCGGCACACGTGCACTGACTCTGGATGTGCCTCTGCTCCTGAATGAAGCCTCGTGAGAGCTGGGCCTCGACCTGCCTCCTGGCTGGTATGTCCGCGCCACGTGCGGACAGGGGCAAGGAGCTCCAGTGGCTCCCACTGACCTGCTGGCCAGTGAGGGCTACGAGAAAGGCAACCCAGGGGGTCCTAATGTGCACCTCCCCAGGGGCCTGGAGGGGGCATCTTCCAGTTCCCACCCTTTATTTTTTGGCTAGTTGGTTTCAAGCAGTGAGGATAGGAGGAAGGTAGATTGTGCGTGCCCCAATTTGGCTCTGTCCCAGGCCCAAACCTTGTGTTCAAAAACTATGTTGGTAAGAGAAAGGGAGGCACCCTGATGAGGCATTGCTCTCAGAGCTCTCTGGTGGCTCCCCACAGCTTTTGCAGATCACCTCGTTGAAGGAATCTAATTTTCCGCAAGCTCACAGATACCATGTCAGCAGCAAGGTGAAGAGGGACCACTTACTTGTCAACAGCAGTGAGAGCGAAGGGCAGTTTCACCACCTGCTCGTAGGCATAGATGCAAGAGAAATGCACCTCCAGCTGAAAACTCCGGGAGATCACGCCCCTGCGCGCTTCCCGCTCTGACTCAATGACATTGGAGTACAACACGTGGGAGCTGTTTTGCTGGAATGACACAGAAATCAAGTCTCCAGACCATATCTAAGTCCATACACAGAATTCCAAGCTCCAGTTCAGATGGTGCAACACAGCTATAGCTGCTCCAGGCCTCCTGGATATCTGCTGGGGTTTTTGCTCAAGCCCCGTGTCCAGGGGCTACTGGCAACCATCACCGGAGTAGGCAGGAGTCAGCATACTGACCACAAGTGAGGGCCCTCCTGTGCAATGCAGAGCTGGGGCACCGGTTCCTCTGTACCCTCCGTGACCCATGAATCACGTGAGGGACCAAGGGGCTATAGCCAGGGCTGCAGAGCTCAGAGGACACTGCCAGAAAGCCGAGGGCTGTAATCAGTTAGTAAAGACTAACTGATTACACTGAGACTTCCATGCTCTGCTGAATAAGACAAGATGTGCTGCCAGCAGGGGTTTTGGTAGAGGCAGAAGAGCTTTGTGACAACCCACAGGGAAGCCTTCTAAGGGGAATGAGAACTTTACAGCACCCAGATATAAAAGGAAAAGCCTCCGGGGCTTCCGCTTGCTGTCCCCACTCAGCATGTCTGCTCCTCTCACAGCAGAGAGGCTCTGCTAGATCCTCACCTGAATTATTGATCCACAGGCAGTGTGGTTTTCACCTGTGAGAGTGGCTGCAAAAAACAGCTCGCCACCTTCTT